GAACAAAATTGGTAAGAATTTTTGAACAAAAAAATTCAATGTTATGATGTTATGCTGAAAGTTGCAAAATTAAAATAAAGCTCGTGTAGTTTGTATGGATTATCGTGACATTCCAAGGCGCCCAAAATATGATAAAATTACTTGCCTTGAAATGGCTGAACACGTTGGTGTTAGGCTTTTTTCGTCATTTTTATCTCAAGTAAGAGATATGCTTGAAGATGATGGTTTGTTCTTTTTGCAAATAGCAGGTCTTCGTCGGTAAGTAACCTATGATTATTTATGACATTTAAATTCATTATTATTTGCATGAAATTTATTCACTTTTATCTATAGCACATGGCAATATGAAGATTTAATATGGGGTTTATTTATGGCAAAATACATCTTTCCTGGCGCAGATGCCTCTTGCCCATTGAATTGGGTCATTAATCAATTGGAATGCGCTGGATTTGAAGTTCAAACTGTTGATACCATTGGTGTACATTATTCTGGCACCATATTTCGTTGGTATCAAAACTGGCTAAAGAATAAAGATACTATTATTGATAAATATGGAAAAAGGTTTGTGTCACTATCCTTTTTAGAGATTGTACCCGGGTAAACATTTTTATTGCAATAATAAATTACCTGGATAATCAGGTAATTTAATAATATTCGGGTAGAAATTTTCTTGACGGGTACAGTCTCTAATCCTTTGTTATTTTCAAGACTTAAATCCTAACTGCCTATTTTTCTTTTTTAGGTGGTTCCGGTACGTGTCGTACATCAGCTTGCGATCATAAATTGCATTTTTTACTAACCTTCACTCTAACATTCAATAGAATCTGGGAAATCTTTTTAGCATGGTCTACTATAATTTCTCGACAAGGTAGTGCCACATGTTATCAGATTACTGCTCATAAAAATTTCAATGCATTTGATCGTGCTGGATTGATTTCTGGAAGACTTAAGGCTCAGGACCAATGATAATTGGATTTTGTTAATTCCATTTTTTTTTTTTTTTTTTTTTTTTTTTTTTTTGACTTTAAATATTTAATTACACGTAACATTGAAACCAATAAAGTTAATGAGTTGAAAGTAGTCATTTTATCCTCTTTATTTACGTTTTTAGGGTCTATTCTAAACTCAAGGCAATCATGATCCTGACATATTGATGATTTTTGACTACTAATCATTTATTTATTATATTTATTTTAAATATCAGATATTTTAACAACTATGTATTTAACTAAGTTTAATAGTTTTTTATCAAATTGGGATTAAGTAATTTTGTTATAGCTGATTTTAAAATTATTAAAATTTTTGGGTTTTAAGTTTATTTAATTTAAAATATATATATATATATATTAAAAAATTATTACTGTTGTTACTAACACTAGTAGTACCAAATGTCAATTATTAAAACAATAGCATACTTGGTGAATTTACTTCTAATGAGCGTTAAAAAACATATAATTACAGTCAGACCTCGATATAATCACCAGGTTGGAAACAAAATTTGGTGATTATACAGTATAAAGGTTATGTTATAATACTGTAATATATAACTATATATATAGAATTAAATTAAAAAATGATGACTATAACAAGGTTGTGACTGTATCAAGTGACTATAATGGGGGTCTGTAACTGGTAATATAAATCAAAATCAGCAATAGTATGTATATACAGTAACTGGTAATGTTGTGCTCTAGGTAAAATTTATTATCTCAAAAAGCATTTAAAAAGTTCTGACAAAATTTCAGAATTTAGTCAAGTGCATGCTAACTTATTCCAAATTTAAAATTTTATTAAAAAACTTTGCTTGATTTTACACCCCTATATAATAAGCATTCAAATATAGAACATACAATTTATTACACGAGTGCGATCAAGGGGAAACCTTTATCGGGCTTTCAATTATATTTTGTGTCCAGTGTTTTCTGAGTGCTGTCTAGGGAAAATCTATCATCGACTTCCGATTATATTTGTAATGACTTGTCACAAAATATAATTGAAAGCCTGATGATAGATTTTTCCCTAGACAGTACTCAGAGAACAAACTGGACAAATATAATTGAAAGCTCGATGACAGGCTTTCCCTTGACCAAACTCATTATGAATATTAAATTACTATAATAAAAAAAATAATTTTTTATAATTTTTAC